ATCCCAAGCCGCCGCGTTTGGCAACGCCTCACTCATGTGCTAACCCATGCACTCGTCCGCGCCCTTGTGGCCACTCTTGTTCGCTCAACTGTCACCCCGGCCCTTGTCCTCCTTGCCAGGTGACGACTCAGATGCCTTGCTACTGCGGCAAGGAAACCCTTTCGTTCCGCTGCGCCCACCTAGGGCTTAGCAAGAGTGGCGTTCCCACGACGGCCGAACTCTCGTGTGGCCAGACGTGTGGACATCCGCTGATTTGCGGAAATCACGTTTGCCGGGAAGCCTGCCATCCTGGTAAGTGCAAACCATGTCCCATACGCGAACTCGCGCGTTGCTACTGCGGCAAGGAGGAGAGGGAGATGGGCTGCGGAGAAGGAGAGGAGAAAGAATGCGTAGTTGTGGACGATGGAAAGGAGGAGAGATGGACAGGTCGATATGCTTGTGAAGGCACTTGCAACAGGTAGGATTCCTTGCTAGATTTTCGCTCATGCATATACTGAACGCTCCTCATCCAGGCCATTCGGCTGCGGCATTCACCGGTGTACCAAGCCTTGTCATCCACCTTCGCCTATTCCCGTCACCTGCCCGCGGTCGCCATCGGTTGTCACCCACTGCCCATGTGGCAAACACGCTCTCACGCCGAACTCGGCGCCGTTCTTCCCTCCCGGTACGGCCCTCGTCCGTTCTGCATGCACCGACCCGGTCCCGACATGCGAGTCGACTTGCATGAAACCTCTTGAGGGTTGTGAGCACGTCTGCTCTGCGCGATGCCATACAGGGCCTTGCCCGCCCTGCTCAATCACCATCATTCGTCCGTGTCGTTGTGGGTCCACAACTCGCGAGATCCGCTGCTCCGAGGACCAGGCCCGCGCTCGCGCTCGCGCCCGTGGTGAGACAGGCCCTGATGTGGATATCCTCTGCGAACGGCCCTGCGGTGCGCTCAAGGCGTGCGGCAAACACCAGTGCCGTCGTTTGTGCTGCCCGCTTGTATCTCTTGTGGGTCTGAGCAAGGGGAAGGGGAAGAAACGTGCAGTCGAGGATAACATCAGCGCGGTGGACCCGCAAGGGTGGCACGAATGCGACTTGGTGTGTGGGAAGCTGCTTACTTGCGGTAATCACCACTGCGAGGAAAGGGACCACAAGGGGCCTTGTCCGCCCTGCTTGAGAAGCTCTTTTGAAGAGGTGCGTGGTTCAAAACGTCTATCAGCACACGAGTATTGACAAGATACCAGATGGTCTGCCACTGTGGTAACACCGTCCTCGAGCCGCCAATCCCTTGCGGCACTAGAATCACCTGCGGCTATCCCTGCAACCGACCCCCGCCACCTTGCGGTCACCCTCTGACCCGTCATGCATGTCACGAGGACCCCATTCCATGCCCTCCGTGTCCTTTCTTGACCAGCAAGGTATGCGCGTGCGGAAAGAAGACGGTAGACAATGTCCGTTGCTCGCAGGAGAAGGTCTCTTGTGGCACCGTTTGCGGGAAGTGAGTGATTTCTAATATCACATTGAGTTTCCCCATACTGATCACTTTACAGACTCCTGGCTTGCGGTTTCCATCATTGCGAGCGACTTTGCCACGGCGACGCTTGTGGTGCATGCCACGCTCCTTGCGGCAAGCCTCGAAAGCTCTGCATGCCTGCCATCCATCCGTGCACCTTGGCTTGCCACGCTCCTGCCTCCTGTGACGAGTCGGAGCCCTGTCGTTCAGTCGTTACTATCACTTGTCCTTGCGGCCGAATTCGCCAATCCGTGCCCTGCGGTCGCTCGATCACGAACCAAGCAGGTCGTGAGGGCAGTCAGCCGCTCAAATGCACGAACGAGTGCGCGATCGCGAAGCGCAATGCCCGCCTGGCAGAGGCGTTGAACATCAATCCCGACCGCACCAATAGCCGTCTGAATCAGGTCACGTACAACGACGACCTCGTTGCCTTTGCGCGTGTCAACGCAAAGTTCTGCTCCATCGTCGAGAAGAGCTTCGCCGAGTACGTCTTTCTTGTTAATTATCCTTGTTTGTGGCGACTGACACCTCGATAGTTTCTTGGCATCGGACAAGAAGAGCCAAATTTTACCACACATGCCAGAGCAGAAACGCAAGTTCGTACACGATCTTGCCGCGGTATACCGCATAGACACCCAAATGGTCGATCAAGAGCCTCACCGCAGTGTGCAGCTTCTCCGGCGCCTCGACTCACGCGTACCCAACCCCCTTCTTTCCTCCGTCATCGCCCCTCCGTCTACATCTTCCAGCTTGGGCAAGCTTGCAGATTTGCGTACCGGCCTCCAACCTCTTTCGCGCCCGGGCTCGTCGCGTGTGTCCCCGTCCCCGTCACCTGCCCCAGGCTCGAGCGGTATCGGAGCTGGTAAGGGTTGGACTTCGGTCGTTGCACGCCCGCCACAAGCCGCGCCCACACCAAGCGGGTGGGCTACGTTGCCAGTCAGGACTCAAACTCCTGGACGGTCCACGCCCTCCCCAGGTCCCCCTCGCATTGCATCCGTGCCACCACCGCCTCCCCCCACGAACACCGAAGACGTGCCTGATAACTGGGAGGATGAGACGTGACGTCGACTGTAGAACCGTCTCACCTTCAGGTTAGGGACCATCGTGCATGATAGAACTCGTGTAATGTTGAATTGACACTAGTAGACAGATAACGCATTGCTTGGACCTGTATCGATACACAACAATTGTCTGGACCGCGAAATGCATAGTGTTCCTGCCATTCTGTGCTCGCATCGCGTCCAAGCGATTAAGCCCTAACGCTTTGGCAGGAGAAGGTCAAACGACTTTGGTTCCATCTGGACGGACCTAAATCCCTGCGTATACACACCATCAAGATGCGATCGGCCACCATTATATGCGGAGCATCACAATGGGCAGCGGCCTGGTAACGTTTGTGAGTGGTCTTTATTCCGCTAAGGCCGCCTAGCAACCGCGGCCACCTACGGTTTTGCAGGCACTTGGCGGAACAGTATATCGCGGGGATCCCAAAGAACAAGAATTACTTGATCCTTATCACAGTAAAAGCGAGCACAGCAACGAGGAGCGATGTTTGGTGCGATTGCGAGATGGGGATGTGCTCTTGGACCTTGGAACGCTTTGGCTTCGCGGTCACGTGTGCGTGTCAAAGCGTACCTACCGCCACACTAGGTGGCCCATATAAGATATCTGGACGAGGGCATCTCCTCCTGCACCCAACGGCCACTCTCTCCCATCTGCACCCTGCCACACAGTCCGTGGCGCACATCTCCTCGCACACACCGGCCCCCAGAATTTCTCAGACCGCCTCCTGCAACCGCCGCCACGCGCCCCCCGCCCATCCCCACTACAAACCCTAACCGAGAGACCATGATGGCCACCCTCCTCTGCGCAAACGTAATCGCCAACACCAACGCTCTTACCCTCTCTGAAAAGCTCCGAGCTCTCTGGGCTACCCTCTCGGACGAGCCCACTGAATCAGTGGCTATAGTCGCGCCTGCGCCACAACGGCCTGCCGCTGACTTTGCCACAATCCTCCACTGGGAAGAATCCGACAAGGGCGTCGACGGAGACAAGTTAATGCCCCCACAGCACCACAACAATGCCGTAAGTAATAAATTCTAGTCGTTGACGTACAACACGACACTCACCTCCCCGCCACAGTACCTGCACTCGGGCGGGTTGTACACCCAGCGTCTACTTGCGTGCGGCCGTGTCATGGCCAGATACGCCACCGAAATAGACTACGTGCACGCCATGAACAACCCCGCGCTCGCGAACCAGGCGCCGCCGTGGCCGCCAGCACCAGAGCACATCGCCGACGCGTTGACCTGGGGCGCACCGGTGAACAGCGGGGTGGCGCCACCCGCGCACGCGCCACAGGACAGCGACATGGAGACCGGCGCGAGCGCGAGTGGCACCGGCGATGACTGGTCGGCACCGTCGTTCGGTTGGGTTGTGCCCGGCCAAGACACGAGCAGCGACGAAGAGACTGAATGGGAAGGCCTGACGTCGAGCCTCCTGTTTGACGCAGCGGATTCCGAGGACGAATGCGCCACTGGCTTCTTCATCGGGCGCGACGGGACTGCGTGGCCCGTACCGCCACGGGAGTGTATGCCTCACAATATCCCTGTGGAAGGCTTTCGGGATTCCCATCCCACCAGCCAGCACGCGCAGCCCGAGTGCAGGATCGTGTGGTCCGCGGAACACTCAGATTCGGACTTGGGCTCGGACTCAGACTCGGACTCGGACTCGGACACCACGGGCTCACAAAGCCCTCCGCTGGACTTCGAGTACAGCGCTGCAGACTCGGAGCGCAGCTCGCCGTCGACGACGCAGGGATCGCAGCCTTCGACACCCCCAGACGTACCGCTCGCGAATCTCGGCCTACTGTGGTACACGTCCTTCGGGAAGGAGCTCGGGTTGTCGACGACACTGAACGTGCATAGCCACGATCGAGCAAGTCCCCCGCCTCCACCCATCGAGACCCTCGCCGAAGAGGCTCAGCGCGCAGGGTTATTCGATACCGGTGGCTTCTTCCTCGGACGAGATGGCTCCCTGTGGCCTTTGCCTCCGTCTCCGCCGATTTTGGACGCATTCGACATCGGGTACGGACGGAGGATGCGATATAGCTCGAGCCATGGTACGACTTAGCACCGTCTGGTCGCTCCTTGGTACCTAGGGCATTGTGGATTGAGTTGCGGTTGTATCTGAGAGCTCGAGTTGGACTTGTCCTCCTGCCAGAAACTTGTTCCGGGATTTGTAACAGTACCGTAGGGCTTGCTCATATAACATCGAGCATGGTTGGACTTCCTAAGATCAGGGCATTGAGGCCATTGTGAAATCCGCAATGCACGGTCGCCCTTTACGGCAGCCTTGCCCCATGTGTCTGGTGAGTTGTTGTCATGTCATTTTGGTATGTTGTGACGGTAGAGGGTGAAGGCTTAGCGCTTAGCAGCTAGCTTGAGTTGACCGCAATATGTACATAGATTTCCGATCACAACACACTTACATTACCTCACATGGGTCGGTGGCGTAGTTGGTTATCGCATCTGTCTAACATCAGCAGTGATCACAGAAGGTCCTCAGTTCGAACCTGGGCCGACTCATATTTTGTCACGACCGACTAGCATTCAAGATATTCGTACTATGTTATCACCCATATCTTTTGCTTCCACGATACCACGGTCAAGAAGCCGTTCTGCCTAATCGTACAACCTGATCATTCTGCATATGTTGACTTCCCCACGCGATACCATAACGCATGGCAAACCAAGCGTCCTACTCGCTTTCCGGAGGCGCGATCTTAATGATGAGCTTTCCGACGGTTTTGCCCCCGGTGAGATCCTTCTGAGCCTGCTGCACACCCTCTGCCGTGAAGGGGTACTCTCCATGGATGCGTATCTTGAGGTCACCGGTAGCGATGAGTCTGAAGAGCTCCGTGCTGTATCGGCGGCCCTCCTCCGGCGTGTAGATGTAGTTGGCCAAGCTATCCGTGGGGAATGTGAGTATCATTAGGTAGAGCTTAGTGGTAGATGGGGAGCGTACGTAGGGCGAAGCAAGCGGACGTTCTTCTCGACGAGCTTGAGCGGAGGGAATGGCGGGACCGCGCCAGAGGCATTGCCGACGGAGACAATCGTCCCTTTGCGTCTGATCATCTTGAAGTCGCTCTCGAACCTATCAAACCCTACCGTTAATCCCCACAGGCCCCGATGCACACATGCACAAGCGAGCACACTCACGTATCCTTCCCGACACCGTCGAAGATCGCATGCACGCCCTCACCGTTCGTGAGCTCAAGCACGCGCTGGACCGTATCCTCCTGCTTATACAGTATAACATGGTCCGCGCCGTACTCGCGCGCGATCGCCGCCTTCTCGGGCGTGCTCGTCGTCCCGATCACCGTCGCGCCGCGCGCCTTGAGCAGCTGCGCGAAGATCAGGCCGAGCCCGCCCGCGACGGTGTGCACGAGCACGACGTCGCCCTTCTGCACGTCGTACGCCTCGGTGATGAACGTCAGCACGGTCCCGCCCTGGGTGAGCCCCGCGGCGGCGGTGCGGGTCGAGAGCCCCGCGGGGAGGGCGTATGTCTTTTGCCATGGGACGCTGACGTATTCTGCGAACGCGCCAAGGCCGTACTGTGCATAGCATGATGGGCACATATACATCAGTTAATATAGGCAGATTCCTCCAGCATGGACACTAAGGGCAGGTGCAACTCACAACAGCGACCTTTCCGCCAAGGCTAAATCCACGGAGCTTGTACTCCTCGTCGTTAAGCACCTTCTCGTCAGTGGGCAGCCCCACGATCTCGCCCGCCGCCTCCGTGCCGAGGGGCTGAGGGAAGGACGAGATCGGGTACAACCCCTTCCTGCGATACAGTAATACAGTAACACACGATACACACCGTAAGCGAAGCTGCTGTCGGCGATACTACATGCCAAGCACGCTATCGCACGGCACTCACCGGAAGTACGTATCGATGAAGTTGACGCCCCCGTAATGGACCTATAACGTCAAATAGCAGATCATTAGCCCGTATCCGAATTAGGGGGTCGTGTACGCGGAGATCCAGATCGCGAAGCAGCACTACTCAAGCCTCGGGGTGTCTACGCGTGGGTCTCGCGTGCTAATGCAGCAGTATGGTTGTTGTTCAGTGCTACACACCTTGACGAGGACGTTCCCGGGCGCATTCTGGGGCACGGGAAGCTCGAGCTTCTCGATGACCTCAAAGTCGCCCGTCTGGTTAATCCCGATCGCCTGCATCTTCGCCGGCAGCTGCGTAGTGGTAGTAGAGGCCATCGTGCTAAGCGTACGGGTAGTAATGGGCCCCCTGTGGTGATGGTGGAGAGGTGCTGTGTGCGCGAGGCGGGTAGTGGTGGTGCTAAGCGATAAAGTTAACGTTAACGGGGTCCGCGGATCGCGTAGGGCTCGGACTCTCGGGATTTGTTGAGCTTGAGCGAGTGTGGAGGCTAGTGCTGGGAAAGTGCGAGATGCGCGGGCGTCGATCGATATGAGCCGTTGGACGCTAGGGAAGATAGTCAGTATTCAGGCCTCAGGTACGTTCGGACCATTATATGCTTAACTTGATCTAGATGAAGTATAGGTGTGATCGGACTCACTTGATCACTCAAGCGAACGGTGCGGAGGTGGCAATGAGTAACTTGGATCGAACGAGGTTGGTGTAGCAGAGCATTAAGTAGCGACAAACTTCGATGCCTCTATGTACCGGTGTTAGTCAGTCCCAGGCCACCCTGGGTGCGCTTTCCAAGCCAATTCACGAGCGTCATGACGTGCTTACTACGCACGCCCACACCATCTGAACTTGGTCAAGCACCCACCGGCGCGGGAGTATGTACGCCCGGCCCGGTCGAGGACCGCGGGCTCACCGAAAACGCCCCTGTAGCAAGAGGAACGGGTCCCACGGTATGTGATCATGAGCAAGGGAGGGAGGTCTATATAGCGTGGCAGCAGAGGTAGGTAGTATGTATCAAGGAGAGCATAGAGATACAGGACATCCGCATCCGCAGAGCAATTGCATATCCGAGTCCGTTGGAAAACACAGTGCTACGAGACCGTCCGATGTTGAGCCTAACTCGTCGCAGCATATGGCGCGACGGGCGTAGTACAGTGAGTATCATAAGATGGGCGGTAGTATGATGCCTTGGAGCACAGGAACGCAAGTCCATACTACAACTCCGTCATAGACGAGACCTGTATCCACAGCTACAGGGTGGCATGAATGTGGCGAGGTCGGGGTCATCGGCCATAGTTGTAGCTGCGGCTCAATGCGAAGCCACACTTGAGGCGTATCGGGACAATGTCCCCCCAGAGGGAAACACGACGCCATAACCGACAGCTTCGATCGCACCTCGGCTGCCCATCGACCGCCCCGCCCAGTGGCGTATGCTGTGCCACGTCGTGTCATACGTCGCGACATCGCGCAGTCTGCGTCAACGTACACGTCGTGCCTGCGGTCGCCGACGGACGGGATCGATCGCGCCGGGGGCCATCGTCGACGCGGGACGCCCATCGCGTAGGTCGTCGACTTCATCGCGTCCAATCCGAACAGCGATTCATCGCGCCCTGTGCATAGACGTATGATTGAGGGATATGCGGGCCAACCAGCCGGTGGCTGTCATAGGTCCATCACGTTTCCCCGACATGCATGTAGCGCGAGCGCGAGCTTCTCCTCCTGCCATCCAGGAAAATGCGTTATGCCGCTTTGAGATCGAGCTGGTGCTGGCTGTACGCGCTCACCACGCTGCGGCGCGTCCGTGCGGCGGCGACGGGGAAGGAGATGCGCGCGTGCATGGTGTCCGGAGAGAGCTCGTCCAGGTCGACGTCTTCCGAGTACATCGTCGTGCACGCGACGACGGTGCTGAACTCGGGCACGGTCGTCGCCCAGCGCACGCGGCCCTCTGGGAGGAGCTTGATCCCGAGGCGCATGATCATCATCGTCGGCGCGATGCCCTGCGGAGGTATGACGTGGGTGTGTCAGCGTGCTGCAAACGTATCACAATAAAGCAGACAGCGGCAAGATGAAGGTGGTGGCAGCCATGGATGGAAATCGGATGGAACGGGACTTACGTAGATCTGCGCAGCGAACGACTCGATCACGAGTAGGAACGGGTGCTCGAGTACGAGAAAGACGAGGAGCGCGAGCTGCGCCACGGCCAGTAACGCGCCTGTCTCGATGAAGCACGCCGCAAGGCCGAAGACGAGGTCCGACATGGACTGGATGTTGCGCGCCGGCGCTGATACACGACGCAGGCGGTACACGAGCAGTGCCGTGACAAGCATGTCGGCGACCAGAGAGAGCACGCAGAAGGCGATGTCCAGCGGGAGCTTCTTGGGCGCAATGAAGGGCGACTGGAACGCGGACACAGGCAGGCTCGCTGGGCCGATCAGGCCGCAAACTGTGATATATTCAGGGAACATACGACCAGGGCCGCAGGGGTGGGTGGGAACGTAAGCCAAGGGGAACGCGCGCTGGATATGTCAGGACGGAATGACGCACCAAATCCCGTGATAGACATGACCGCAGGCGCGACGACGACGGGCCACGCGTGGTCCCATGCCGCCCAGCAGCGGTGCGTCTGCAGGGGCAGGGATAATTTATCAATGCAATTCGGACATGCGCGGGGAAGCGCGATATTAGCTGGGTGATGAGGAGGGAGACGCTTACCATGACTAGCTGTGAAAGGAAACCGGCGAATTTGAGGAGCGCGTCCGCGCCGCGCAACAGTTCGCTCATGTCGGAGCCAGTTGGCAAGGGATACGATGACTGAGGACAGCTTGTTGAGCGGCGTTGCTCTGGCACCCGCAGACAAACGTGCACTTACTACAAGAGTAGAGAATCTGTCAGTGGTCACTAGGCTGCAATGCTGCAGGGAACATTCAGATATTGGTGCAAACGCGAGACCGAGGGGTACCGATACTCACTGCCATACAAGTAGCATACAGAACGCATGTGGCGCTCACGATAGACCAGTCAACCGGGAGCGGCCTTTTGTACACAATGAGGATGAGAAGCGCGAATGCGAAGAATATGGTGTAGATGCCTGCGGTTTATCCACGCGCGCGGGCGATCGGGGAGAAGGGGCTGTCAATTATGAGCCGACGGCGGGAGAACGTATAGTAGCGCACCGAAGAGGAGGATCTCCAGGGCGTCACTGAGGATGACGACGTACGCGCCGTCGGCTGCGAGGTCTTGGAGGATCATCGTGTGAGACGTCTGGCACGGGGCGCGTGGTGCCCCGGAGACGGGGACAACGCCAGCGGGGCACGGTGGGCGGGATTACGGCGCCAGCCCTCGGAGGGAGAAGAGGGTGGGAAGGAATGGCAAAGGGGGGCATTTGGCGGGCGGGAGGGTGTATATATATCTGTACGCCTGTCGAGCACTGAGCGGAGGGAGTGACAGGTTGAGGACGCTGGCAAAGGCCGGGGGATGGGAGATGTGTGATGAGCCTGAGGTCTAACTTCGCCTGTGGGCCGGGCCATCTGCGATCTCAAATCGGCCACAGGCGAGCAGGCGAGCAGGCGAGAGATCGGGAGCACAGTCGCAGCACTCGTCCAAAACGTCTGATTGCGTTCGCCCATGAGAGTCC